AGATGCACATGGGAGATCATTAACCAATTTCCTAAATGAGGACCGGGGAGTAGCAAACAAGTCTAAATCAGAACAAAAATTGTTATAAGAAAACATGAGACGAGGGACCACGGAGTTAGAAAACGCATTTGTATTGGTACAAGGCACGTAGAATACCGATAAATCACGGGATGGTCGAACAGGAATCCTAAACTGTAACTGAGATAGAATCGCGGAGCAGTCAACAGTGCCGTTACTCACTTTATAAAGCAGCATTAAATCGTTACTAATGCGCCTGGAAGAGAGTTGAGGGACTCCAAATATTAAGCATCGCTGTGCGTAATCACAGTATGGTAAGTAGAATTTTCGCGATAGGTACCGAAGAAAACGTTTTTGAACTTGTTCTAGTCGATCAATGTATATATGGTATTGAGGGTTCCAAACAGAAGATGCATAGTTAAGGATAGAAGAAACGAAGGCGAAGTAAAGAGAACGAATACAGGATAAGTTAGTAAAAGGACGGGAGACACGACAAATAAATCCGAACATGCGAGAGGCCTTATTAACAATAAAATCGATATGAGCTGAAAACGCAAGTTTAGAATCAAAGAGAACCCCAAGATCTCGAACACAATCAGATGGTATAAGAGTATTAGGGCCGAGGGAATAATCGAAAACAATGGGATAGCGTTTGCGTGTAAATGTAATTTTCGTGCATTTATCGTGATTGATGAAAAGATTGTTGTTTACACAATAAGCCTGTAATCGGACCAAGTCCTCCTGCAATTTTTCGCAGTCGTCAGGTGAACAAATCGTGGTAAATATTTTGCTATCGTCAGCGTATAGCAGAAACTTGGAGTAATGAAAACACGCATGAATGTCATTGATATATAGCAGAAACAACAACGGTCCCAAATGACTGCCTTGCGCCACACCGGAAGTTATCTCTTTGAAGGAAGAGCGATAGCCATTAATGGTAACAGCTTGTGATCTGCTAGAGATGTAAGAAGATAACCAATAAATCAAACCAACAGGGATGTCATAATTAAAGAGTTTCTTAAAAAGAATTCCGTGATCTATTCTGTCAAAGGCCTTACTGTAGTCTGTATATACAGCATCCACCTGGTAATTTTTGTCTAGAGCATTCAGTAAAAAATTAGAAAATGTGATTAGGTTAGACTCCACTGACCTGCCACGAAAAAAGCCGTGTTGCTCCGGGATTATGTAAGATTTGACCTTAAAGAAAAGCAGATCGTAAACTAGACGTTCAAAGATCTTAGAGGCAATTGACAGAATAGAAATAGGTCTGTAGTTGACGACTAAATTTCGGTCGCCAGCCTTATGGATGGGCAGTATTAGAGCTTTTTTCCATTCGGATGGGAAAATAGCCGTTCGCAGAGAAGTATTGAAAATGTAAAAAAGTGGTTCAGTAAGCACTGATGCACACTCACGAAAAAGCACGCCTGGTAGGCCGTCCGGACCCGCACCCGCTCTAGGATTCACAAGTGACAACGCCTGTAGAATATCATCACGTGAGAACCAAGGTGCGATTTCCGAAGAAGAGCAGTCGCGGATATCAACTAAAGTTCCATCAACAAAGACAGAACTAAAATAGTCAACAAACAGTTTGCAAATTTCCTCCCCACCCTCAACCACTCGATCACCATACGACATCTTACTGGGAATACTCATGCTGCCTTTTTTCCTCGATTTAATAAAAGACCACAGACTGTTAGGATTATCGGACAAGCTAGTCTGTGTAGCCTCTAAGTATAGCTTATAATCAGCTGCAATTAAAGTTTTAGACCGAGTACGGAGCAGACGAAAGGTTTCATAGTGAAGGCGATTACCTGTAGTCTTCCATTTTTTGTGAAATTTTAATTTTTCCTTAATGGCCTTGATCGTTGGCAGGGAATACCAGTTAGGAAATCTGCATTTAAAAGTAATTTTGTGAGGAATAAATTCATCAACTGCTCCGCGAACAACTGAATAAAACACTTCAAGCGCCTCGTCAACTGGTAAGTGACTAATAGCCGCACCCCAGTCTACAGACGCGAGTGATGTACGGATACCTGTATAGTTAGCCTTGTGAAAAAGATATTTACGCGAGCAGTTTTCGCGGAGGGAATGCAATAAATTAAATTTAATTGAAAAAGTTAAAGCAGGATGATGGGTGTCCGCGTGCAAAAGTGGATCAAGGCTTTGAGAAAAATCAGAGATGTTATAGGAGTTACTAAGAATAAGGTCCAAGGTTCTGTCGTTAGCATTACGTACGCCGTTGAATTGCTCAAAATTACAATAAGAAAACGAAGTTAAAAACAATCGTGAACGAGCATCATTGGCACTCGATGGCAATAAACCAAGCGATTGCGACGAATACCATGAAATATGAGGTAGATTAAAATCACCAAAAATCAAAATCTTATGGTCAGGGTAGTGGTCGCAAACGCGATGCAAAGTTACCAGAAATGCGTCAAGCGAGTCAAAGTCCGCGGGTGGGAGATAAACACAACAAAGCAGCAACCGAGTACCACCGCACTGCACAGAAAGCCACAGATCTTCAGCGGACGCACTTTCAGCAAGTCTAAAACAGTCGATTGTTGATCGCCGCCACCATCTTTTTTGCTTGACAGTGTAGACTGATATTTGGACAAAGATAACATCTAGTGTAAAACATTCATGCGCTACTAGATTAAAATGTTAGTTGCTTTTTGATGGGGAAAGAAATGAATTTTAAAGAAAAACAAAATACTATCGTAAAAAGAATGTTTTTTTACGAAAATCACAATTAATTGGTGTTATTTAGTTAGTACTAAATTCTAGTAAGTGCAACCTATAATAGCCACCATAAGCCACCTATAAAGAAAACAAAATTTTTAATAATTGCAGCGCTTTACAGTACAATTTAACATATTTTATTTTTTTACGCTAAAACTATTATCTTTAAGGAAAAAACTAAAGACACAAAAAAGTACCAATAATGAATAAGCTTTACAACCCATATTTTTATGTTAATATTATATGGCGTTAAGTTGTTATAAAAAAATTAAAGGGGTTGTGAATTTCATCCCCTTAGAGGGCGCTAGGGAAGTTTAAGGTATGGTTGAAAATAAGATATTAACCAGTAGTACATACATACAAAATTCCAAATTCTATGGTTTACTCATACCCGAAATAAAAGATAAAATGTAAATTTTTGGGTCAACTTTGACAGCTCATAGCTCGAAAACAAAAGAGTTGCGACCCTATGTTTACATAAAAAACTTGTGTTATTTTGGCAAGTACTACGTCCTAGTAAAGTTTCCCGATTAAAAACTGAACCACCCTGTATACTATATTCCATACATAATGGGCACCCTGTTTATTATTTTATTATTATTATTTTTCTCAGTGTAGGTCTTCACTCCCACTTCTCTTCAGTTCGATCTCTATAACTACTGTCATATCAGAATGAATCCTTTTTAACTTAATTTTTCTTAGTTTTCAACCCTTGTAAATTCGTCATTGTACAGGGATTGAATTCGACATTGTGGCGTCTATTTTTTTGACTATCCAACTTCGGACGCCGTTTACTAAGTATTGTTGGTTTTTCGATTAAAGGGGTAGATCAGTAAAACCACCCTCTTCCAGTAGGACCGAGATTTTTCTGTAGGGGTTTTCTTCCCTTAGTCGATTTTTTCCGGGTTTTAGGCGCTGGAACGCATTGCTCGGTGGTCACGACGCCTTCTTTCACATTTACTTTTTAAGCTATTTAGGAGATTGTTGTGATTATAACTTTTTAAAGCGCTCTCATTACTTAACAGCTTAATTTTTCTATGTGATAATTTAACGTTATATACTGTGAAGGTAGATTGCATTGTAGGCAAAAGCTGAAGTGTATTGAACTCAGGTAAAATATACACCTCAGCAAATATGTAAGTAATCGAGTCGACGTGGAAAAGCGACAGTCGGCATCGACTAGGTATAAGAATTAGTAATAGAAATAAAGTACAAATTAGCAAAGGGAAGATTGGGTTTCATTTCATCATCCAAGCCCTCCATAAAAAAGGACATTACAATACTTTGTACATTACAGACTTTTTACTTTTCAAGTGTATTTTATTACTCTTTGTTGTAGAATAGAGCTATTATTATTTTTCTTAGCAAATTCATCATATAATTTTATGTTTTTGTTTTTCTGATTAGGTCAAAATACGCCTCGAAATACAAATAGGATTATTTCTAAAACAAAACAACCGGTCGTAATTTTATAAGAAAATATGATCCTTTCTGGTTATTTACTAGGTAATAAAGTACACCTATACATAATAATTATACTCATTAATTACCTTTTCGTTTGGAATAAAAGGGGGATTTGCTTACACTTCATGCCAGTTCAAATTCAAGTCTCCAACATGAAGTTCGCTATTTTTATTGTACTTTTGGTATCCGTAATTTTAGTCATTGAGGAATGCCAAGCTTGTGTACCTCTTGATTGCAGGGTAGTTCTATGCGTAGATAAAACTCCAGCACAATGCGCAGCTTTGAATTTAACTTGGCAACCACGTGATGGAATTTGTTACTGTTGCGATACGTGTATTTAATTCCCGAATAAGGTTAATAAATTAATACAGAAAAATTAGTAATGATTGATTATCTTAATAATATTTATGTTTACGTTCATATTTGTTTCAGATAATAATTAAAATCGAAAATTGGCTACGATTCGTAGGACATTAAATTGTTTATTAACATGTAATAACAGAAAATAAATTGTTACTTAAATAAAGTTGTTTTATTTTTATTCTTAGTTGTTTGATGATATCTCAGGCTATGTAGATAAAATAGACGAATAATAGAGAAAGAATAACATGTTTTGAACTGAAGGAAAATAAAAAAAATTTCCAAAGAATTTATTGTGTACGTGCTGTCTTTTATATAATTTTACATATTTTCTCTATTTAGGTCAAAAATGTACTACGAACATTCAAAACGTTCTTTAAACATAACATATTTCTTATAACCCATATTGAATCGGTAATTTACCTGAGGCGTTCGTAACATGTTTGGTGATTATGTTAATATTCGGTTAGATTACTTTGACCTTTAAATATAAAATGGGATTTCCACGCTCATTCTACGTCAGTTTATATCGAAATCTTCGACAATGAAGTTTGGTGTCGTTGTATTCTTGTTATTTATAATGATGATCAATTCGATATCAACACATCACAAAGAACCTCCCTGCCGTCAAGACTTTTGCTACACAGTAAAATGCATCTCTACACCTAAAGAAAATTGTACTATAGATCAAGTTTTCCAACCACGTGATGAGAAGAAGTGTATATGCTGCGATAAGTGCATTCCAAAACAAGGTATGAAATGTTTTAATCTAATGAATTTGAAAGAAATCATTTTAACAACTTAGGTTTTTAATTATTTCTAGATTGCGATCCAACTTTCTGCAGCAGAGTTCGATGCATTAATAAAAACGAATCAGATTGCACTAACGATGAAGTTTTTCAACCACGTGATGAGACCAAGTGTATCTGTTGTAACACCTGTGTTCCAAAGAAAGGTATAAAATGTTTTAATTATATTTCAAAGGCTTATTTAGTAAAACTTTTAAAAAGAAAATAAGCTATTAATCAAAATGAATTTTAAATAAATGTTATAGGAAAGATTAAGATTTGTTCAAGAGTTAATTTTTAATATTTATGTTTTAGATATTCAAGCTTTATAAATGGTATGAAACGTAATAATCCAAGATAATACTTCTATCAGCTTATAATGAAACGTTGTCAAGATTCGTGGAAAATAAAAAAAAATTTCAAGTTTCCAAGAAATAATCTGCAAAACATTAGATACTAAATAAATTTGCTTTAATAATTAATAATTGCTTTTTATTTCATGGTGATATCTCAATTAATTTTTGAGATGAGTAATGATTAATTTAGGGAAAGTAAAGACCGTTACGGTTATATAAAAATCTTTTTGAAAAATATTAAATACTAAGAAAATTGCTTGAAATTACTTTTTATTAAATAGGTATAGTAACCAAACATGTAGCGGTATTAAATATTATCATATTTATCATATCATATTTTTGATAACCTCCTATCGGCCATCTCCCTCCCCTCCCCTTCACAGACGGTAATTCACTTCTTTCCTTTAAACCCTCTCCCCATATGCCCATAATTAATACTTCTCTTCGCTAACTCCGCCGCTATCTGGTATTCCCCACAGTTTCTATACCTCGTTTCGTGTCTATCACCCCTATTTCATCTCTCTTTCCCTATTCCCACAGTTCTTAAACTTGTGGCCCCTTTCTGCACAGTGCCCACATACAATTTCGGACTTACAGAAACGTTGGAGATGCCCGAAACCCTGGCACCTGTAGCACCTCTTCACGTCTATGAAATCGTCTATTTTCAATGACGACAACTAGTGATGGAACGGATAGTGATTATCTGGTTATCCGGCATATCTATCCGGCCATTATGGTTATAATTTCTGGTACATTTCTGAAGTGATACCCTACATTGTCACTTTATTGCGATATTTGAATAAAAATGAAATTAATAAGAAAGCTAATAAGATATGTCAACTTATTTGGATCCAAGATACAAAATGAACTTTCTTGATGTTGACTTAACTAACGAAGCAACTCTTTAATTAATAATTGGCGATATTTCCACAAGCAATAAATTTTTTAGCGAATTTTACATGTTATCGATGAAAAGTGCAACATCGAAAATTTTATCAAAACTTCAAATATTGTTTTCTCAAAAACTGAAAGTTATTTTTAAAACGTGTTGGTTCATTGGAAAGACAACGCCTTTGCTAACACTTTGGAACATTTTCATACTCATATTCCAAGAAATGGATTTCATACGAATTTTTAAAACTTAATCGGCAAAAATTGAAAAATTCGAAAAATTGTCGATCATTTCAAAAATTTATTTCTCAAGAACTGAAAGTGATTTTTCAAAACCGCATTTTGCATTAAGAAGAGGATACTTTAATTAATAATCGAAAGTGATAACAGCGACGGTTCTGTTAGTAATGAATGTGATGATGAATTACAAGCGAAGGGAAGGAAACTAGACGAAACTGCGCCAAGAGATTTTATATATCGTATTGGGATTGTTACAATGAGGTTGCTAAAGACAAACCTGATATAAATAAAGTTGTATTCAATGAAAAAAGTCCTATTGGGGTTGAACTTAATTATTATCTGCAGTGTCCAACACCTAAAAGAGATACTAATTCCTGTGAATGGTGGAGTACTAAGTAATAGGTTTTTAATATCTGGCCAAAGCCGGATATTTGGTAACTATCCGGAATCCGGCCGAATTTTAAAGAATGGCCGGATAGGTCGGATACCGGATAGTTGCCGAATATCCGTTCCACTACTAACGACAACCCAATGTATGCCCTTCCAAGCTTTGTAGTCTCTCACCTCACTCTCGCTGATACTTCCATGACATAATAAAGTCTTATTGGGGTTGAACTTAATGATTATCTGCAGTGTCCAACACCTAAAAGAGATGCTAATTCCTGTGAATGGTGGAGTACTAAGTAATAGGTTTTTAATATCTGGCCAAAGCCGGATATTTGGTAACTATCCGGTATCCGGCCTGATACCGGATAGTTGCCGAATATCCGTTCCACCACTAACGACAACCCAATCTATGCCCTTCCAAGCTTTGTAATCTCCCACCTCACTCTCGCTGATACTTCCATGACATAATTTACTACCCCCTTTCCCTTCTGCGTCTTGAATAATATTTTGACTTGTTGTCCGAAGTCATCCCAACCTATCCCAACCCCCTACTCCATGTTTTTACCTCAAAGCTGTTGTAACATCACCCCCTCGCTCATCTCTCCGAGTCATTATAGAGTATCTTAGGCCACACCATGGCTGGTTCCCGTATCGTTATATCCTGCTCCCCGATCTTGTCCCTTACCAGTTTACCAACGAAATAGCGATATTAAAAAGAAATATTTTTACTAATTTTATGGAAACAGCTAAAAGTAAAGTAAGGGCTACATGGAATACCATCAATACTCTCAAACAAAGTAAGCGATCTGAAGATCTCGATTTATATGATTTTCAATACAACTACAAAAGCAATGAAGAACTGTTGAATGCAATAAATATTTATTTTGCCAATATAGCTGCTGGTAAAATGAGTAATCTACAACTTCACAACACTATTAAAACAAATATTGACTTAAAGAGATCATTTGCGTTTTTTTGCGCAGTTGGTTACGACGAAGTTTCGGTCTCTGTTCTAAAAGCTTGCGTCGATTATCTTGTTGAACCTTTAAGTAATATTATAAACCTGTCATTTGGTTCGACAACTTACCCACACCACCTGAAAAGAACCTTAGTAAGGCCAGTGTATAAAAAAGGTGACAAATCAGACTTTTCGAATTATAGGCCAATCGCTTTATTACCTACTGTCGCAAAGGTTTTTGAAAAGATAGTACTGATGAGACTTAAAAGCTACATTTACAAAAATCAAATACCGAATGAGTCAGAAAATGGTTATATTGAAGGTAGATTCACAACTAGAGCAATTTTTCAGTTGTTGGAAAGAACTTTATGATGACTGGGAGTACTGCAGCGACCAACTCTGACATCAATTTGAAATTCAATGGCAAACGACTTACCCGTGCAGAAGAGGTGATGTTCTTGGGTGTTAAAATTGATGTGAATCTTTCATGGAAATAGCCTAGTAAAATCGTTAATAGGCTATTTAGAATAAAATAGCAGCTACAAGTGCGTATCACATGTGTGTTGGGTCGCGACTACGGTATGGGTTGATTTTCTGGGCTCACTCGGTTGATGTGAGTCGCATCTTCACAGCACAGAAGAAATTTTTGAGAGCAGTTTTCGGACTTCAAATAAGGAAACCATGTAAACCCATTTTTAAATATTATAAAATTCTGACAATGCCGTTGTTTGTGATTCTTGAATGAGCAATGTTTATAAAAAATAACTATACTTTCTTTAAAAAATATGAACAACAACACTGTTATGATACACGTGGAATAGAAAATGTCTATTTACTTCCACCAAAAAACGCACTATACTAAGATACAAAAAAGAACTGTTCACTTGTTTTATCTCAAACAAAATCTTTTAGAAAGAAACTTGTATTCGATAAATGACCTTTTTCAAGAGCCATTACAATAGATTATTGTTTAAATATTATGTGACGTTTTCTATTCATTTTTGTAAAGATGGAAATAAAGCTTATTATTATTATTATAAAGATTTTGAAAAGGACTTAAGAAAGAAAGCAATTTACCCGACTCTGTTTTCTTTCTTCTCCTGGAGTCAGTCGTTAATACATCATCAACCTCAACAGTGGACATCACAAGTTTCTGCGCCTGAATGTAATCCAACTACTAACGGTTACAAAATTATTAAAACTATAAAGATTAATAAATGTTCGAACAATAGTTCGGATAAATGCGTAGAAAAGAGAACTATTAGAATTTGTAATATACAGAATGTCCCGAAACTCAACGTCAAGCGGGCACCGGATGAGAGGCTAATCCATACCTGTTCTGGTAAAAATAAGAAAAAAATTCCATGTCTCTTAGTTAAATGGTAATAGATATATTTTTGAAAATGTTAAGAAAACGTTCCCGTACATCATATCTTTAGGTACTACGGTCAGATAAATGGTAAATATATAAACTAATAATAATAATAAATAATATATAAACGGTAAATGCTAAACAATGGCTAGAAATGGATGAAGGTGATCCTGGTTATCATATTATGACGGAACATGAAATAGCTGATGAAGTGATGATGGTGGAAGCTTGAAAGCGAGGATAGTGAGGAAAATGAAAGATTCCCAAAGATAAAATTGTCAACGATCAGATCGCATCTCGACGATTTAATAACATTTATAGATGATTCATCAAATAAAGAAATGCAATTATATTATGCACATTTCCGTAATTTTAGGGAGTGGATCATAAAAGAACAACAAACTTCAAAAGTGCAAACAAAACGTGATTGTTTTTTTTAAAAGCATTGCCAACCACAAGCGCTTCGACATCTAGTACATAATATCATTTTATAACCAGAGTATACACATATCAGAAGTAACGTTTTTCGTTTTACTAATATGTATAGGTATATAAATAAAAAAATATATAAGACATATGTTCATTCATTTTATATTTGATAGCAAACAATTAACATTATATACCTCTTCTTGGTCTTGGAATAACCCTCAATTGTGGTAAGTATTAAAGTTTCATATTTGCCTTATAACAGAAAAAACGTGTTCGGGACTGTTTTTCTATATAACGGACTTTCGGCTATAACGGACATCCCCTCCCCCGTATTAGTCCGTTATATAGAGGTTTTACTGTAATAGAGATTTTGATTTAGTTAATTTTTTTTTAAATCTGTTTTTTTTCAATTTATTTGATAGATAAATTTAAGTTAAATGAACGAGTTTTATTTATTTTATTTTTCATTCCGTCACCCATTTCCATCGTTGTCTTTAACACGTAACCACGTTACAAGGCTTCTATAAAGAGTGGACCCGACGAGAATACTCTTCTCCGAGATAATACCGATAATAATAGGGGGCTTTTTTCCACCCCTGCCAACTGTCTCTCCATCTCTGTGTTAAAATATATTGTGCTATATTTCCCATGTTTTGAACAACGTATTAGCTTTGATGTCGGAGTTCTTGATTCTGTCCCATTTGATCTTTCCTAAGATCGTCCTCAGGGCTTCATTTCTATTACTCTTAACATATTCTTAGTTTTGTTTGTGTCTTTGCGGATTTGAATAGCGTAAGACATTATTGGGTAGATAATGGTAGTGCTTAAAATGTGTATGATACATGATAG